CCCTCTTTCTGTGAAAAGAACACTTGAAATACAGATACTGAGATTTTAACATGGTTAACTTTTGTTTCTTATAGTGTGTTCAGTAATCCAGGAGTCTGTTTTTGTTTGCAAAATAATTTACTGGCTGCTTTAAAGAAGGTAGTTTGTAGATGAGAAAAGGAGTCCTTTCTTCTAGGCATTTCTTCCAGCTTTTGGGTGAACTTTGAAGTCAGGATAATGAGCCTCTTCTGTGATTCCTTAAAGCTTTCAAGGGAGCAGCTTTGTGGATGCAGGTCTAATGTGATGCTGGTGGCCTGTTTTGGTGTTGGTAGCTCTTAAGTCAACTCCTTTGAAGGACTTGCATAGCGCACTACATGGTAAATGGGTTTTTAAGTGGATGTGGCCTAACCTCTCCCTCTTTTAAAGGAACCACTAAACTTCATCTGGTAGTTGTCCTGCCTATAACCATATCAAATGCTTTGGCAATACTTGAAGTAGAAGTAGTTGTGAAACTTGTGTTGGAGCCTTTTAAAACTTTGTGCCCACTCACAGGCTCCACAGAAAGGGCAGAGTTTTCTAGACTTTTAAAAATTGCTTATACCTCTCTTTTCAGCAACCAAAGGATATTTGTGCCATGGTTGGGTTCTGTCCTTCTGTGAAATCTGTTCCACTTCAGACTCTGGTGCCAGCTCAAGTGGTTCACGAAGTGAAAATGGAGACTGTGGAGGTAAGGTGGACTTCTTGTACTCAACAGATTTGCCTGCCGTTTTGCTTTAGTGTAATGAGCTAGGTGAAACAATATAATGTGAGTTTTTATGCAGAGAATAATCCAAGCCTCCATGCATTCCTGGCTTCTTCTTGTCTGATTTTGATATGTGGAGTAGGAGAGCTGACTGATTTATTGGACTAGCAAAGCCAAACTAGAGTAAACCAAAGCTGTAGGGTTAATAATTCAGGATTGAAATGGAAACTCTTGTTCCAGCAGTCACGTATAGCAGCCATTCCAAATGATACCTCAAATGTTAGAAGGTAAATTGCTGAATTTGAGTCTTGTTCTACATTTGAGTTATGCTTTGATACCTTTAAAAAATGGGACAGCACTCTGCATGTGCAGGTGAGTGATCGGAGTCAGAATGCTGAAGCTTCAAGTTTGGTGAAGCACCTTTAGCTTCCCACAGCTTCTGGGTAAGACATGGGCTGAGTTTTTGTTGTGGGGTTTTTTGGTTTTGTTGTTTTGTGGTTTTTTTAAAGGAAAGTCTATTGTTTGAGTACTGGTAACTTCTGATTAATAAGCTCCAAACAGTTTCCCTCAAGTCCCTCAGTTTCTAGGTTTCTCTTGCAAACAGGAGGGTGCTCTCAATTCTGGTAAATTAGTAATTTTGTCCTCAATTAGTGTATTTTAGAAAAGATTTTGTTTCCCTTAACTCCAGTCACTGTGTGGCTGCTTATTTCTGTGTCTACTAGATTTAACTCCTGTCCTTGTACAACCTGGGGATTGTGGTCTTGCTTGGTCATACAAAATGACTGTTCATTCAGAAAGGCTTTTTATTGAGACCTTTGAGGCTGGGTTTGGGTTCTGTGTGACCTTTTGAATTCAGCTCTAACTGGCCAGCTAGGTAAATGAATTGGTGTGCCACACCTGAATGTGAATGCTGTTAAACTATCCTTTACACATTGTCCTTGTCAGATCTGGTCGAGTGCTGATTTCTTGTTTTGTATGTTTCTTCTGTGTACTCAGAAAGTCTCAGTTCAAGAGAAATCTTTTTCCTTGTGTGAAATATGTGAGACCATGGTGAAAGAAGTGACTGGCCTCTTGGAGAGCAACAAGACAGAGGTATGTAAGGAGTGGAAAATGGTGCCTTTTCCTAGGCTTTTTGCTAAATTGAGGCAACTAAATTTTAGTTTGGCTGTTTTCACGAGAGCAAGATTTCCATCCTGGATGGGATGGAGTAAAAAACATGTACTTATGAACTGAGTCACATTTCTGTTCCTCATTTGCCTTGCATCTCCCATTGTGCTTCAGGAAGAGATTGTACATGAAATGGAGGTGGTCTGCTACCTGTTCCCAGAAAGTGTCAAAGACCAGTGTAAGGACTTCATAGATGTCTATGGCCAGGCTCTGATTGACATGCTCTTGGAGTCAACGAATCCTGAAACTGTGTGTGTTATGCTGAAGTGCTGTGCAGCCAAGGCTCCTCCACAGCAGCCAGGTTGGTAATGAGGAGTCAGTGGTGTTGCGAAAGGATCCGGTTCACTTATAATTATCTCTCTTTTGAGGACACATGCTTTAGTACTTGCTGATGCTGCCTCCTTTCTTCTGTTTGGGGGAACTACCTGAGCATTCTTTTTTCTTTTCAGTTTTAGTGAAACCTGCAGGTGGCTTTTGTGATATCTGCAAGATGGTGGTAGCTTATGCAGATAAAGAACTGGAGAAGAATGCCACAACAGCTGAGATTGAGGCTTTACTGGAAAAAGTCTGTCACTTCCTGCCACACTCTGTCAGTGATCAGGTAAAGTGCTTGTGCAGGAGGCGGGCTAAAAAGCAATGGTCTTGTTGATGGTTGGGAACTGTCCTTGTTGATTTGTTGGGTTTGTGTAGTTCCTACAGTGACAATTATGCTTACCTCATTTTCGGAGAGCTTCACCTGACATTCTGTCTACATGCTAATTTTAGGTCCGTCTCTCAAGTGTCTCTACTTCTGCTATAAATGTCCAGGTACTCATAACAGTGGTCTCTGTGTTTGGCCAACTGCCTTGGTCTCTGGCTGGAGACAAACTGTCCACAGGTGCAGCTGGGGCTGGCTTGTGTTCAGCAACCTGATCCTTCCTAGACTTTTCCCTTTACTGGTTGACACCAAAGCGTAGCAGCTTTTCACGTGCAGTAAAGCAAAAGAGAGGGAGCAGGCTTGCACTGCAGAAAATGACCACACAGGCCTTGCTGTGTGGCAGCCTGCCTTCCTCTCAGAACAAGGCAGATCGAGGTGAACAGAAGGACAAAACATCTTGCGGAGTATCTGGGGAAAAAAAAAAGAGCAGCATCTCTTGGTGGTTTTTGTGGGAGTAGTTGGTATAATGCAGGTCAGGGTTGAATCACAGAACGTTAGGGATTGGAAGGGACCTCAAAAGCTCGTCCAGTCCAATCCCCCTGCCGGAGCAGGAACACCCAGATGAGGTTACACAGGAAGGGGTCCAGGCGGGTTTTGAATGTCTGCAGAGAAGGAGACTCCACAACCTCTCTGGGCAGCCTGGGCCAGTGCTCTGTCACCCTTCCTGAGAAGAAGTTTCTTCTCAAATTTAAGTGGGACCTCCTGTGTTCCAGCTTGTGCCCATTACCCCTTGTCCTATGATTGTTTGTCACCGAGAAGAGCCTGGCTCCTTCCTCCTGACACTCACCCTTTATATATTTATAAACATGAATGAGGTCTCCCCTCAGTCTCCTCTTCTGCAAACTAAAGAGTCCCAGCTCCCTCAGCCGCTCCTCAGAAGGGAGATGCTCCACTCCCTTAATCATCTTTGTAGTTGAAGGAATCTCTTCCTCTGCAAGAGGCTGGAAGGAGTTTGGGGTGCAAGGGGATTAGGTTTTCACAGTCCTTATCCTTGAGGCTGGCAGTCCTTTGAATAGATTGAGACTTTTAAGGGCCTGAATTGACCATCTGGATTGTTGTAACTAATTTGCAGTCAGTAAAGGTTTGCCTGTAAATCCTCTGAGAGCAGTGGGTGGGAACAGCTGAAGGTTTATTTTTTTCCCCTCAACACTGATCCTGTTCAGGGGATTAACAAAGTAGTTGGAAGTAGGCTGGCATAACTCCAGTGGGACAGCACAAAGTAGCACCTGCGAGGGCACTGCTATCAAGGTTTACCTGGAAAACTTAGTAGGTGGCTGCTGAGTGTCAGCAAGTGGCAACTGCTTATAAGTTTAAGAGACATACAATATACAGGCTTAAAGCAGCTATGAAAGAGCTATTCCTGCTAACTGCTGTGAGGCTGTTTAATAGCTGTGGTTCACTTATTAATCGGTGCCGTTAGTCCCTGCTGAGAATGCATCTTCCTGTGCTTCTGTGGTGGCCTCTCCACTAGAGGGCTGAGTGTTATCCATGGGAGTGTTAGTGCTGCTGCCAGCTCTGAAGTGAATTGTAACTACTTGGGCTGAAAGTGCTTAAAAGCCATTACTGTGTTGCTGCCATCCTGTTCAGGATGTTTGTCTCCAGCTTGTTCAGTGTGCTTTCCTCTTGAGACAGTAGTGATTTCCACGATTAGAGACTTAGCTTTGGAAATCAAAGCCCGTCCTGCTTGGTTCTTTTCCCAAAGTCTGTCCTGCTTGGTTCTTTTCCTTTGACCCCTTTCTCATAATCTGTCTGCAGACAGCTGCAGGCAGGTATGAGCTACCAAAAAAATGTAGTTGTGTGATTAGTGCCATGCCGAGTAGATCTGTAGAGCTCAGGCCTCTGGTTTATCGGTTTGGAGTGTACTTTTGGGGTGTTTGGAGTAGTATGCAGGCCTGCTTGCTGAAGATGGTATCTTTTCTTTCTAAGGCTGTAACAGGAGAATCTCTCAACCTGTTTTTTTGTTACAGTGTGTTCAGTTTGTGGAACAGTATGAACCCATGGTTGTGCAACTTTTGGCAGAGGTGATGGATCCCACTTTTGTTTGCACTGTGAGTATTGCATTTAGTACTATTGAGTATGGGCTCTGATACGGTCCTGCTTACTTTTCTATACGCCTTTCAGTGCCTAGCATGCAGAAACTCTGCTGGAATAAAAATCAGCACACTGAATACTTGGAGTAAATGCTGTTGTGCAAGGCCTGGGGCTTACTGAATGCACAGCTGTCTGACTGCCAGCCTTGTGCAAGGAAGGACAGAAGAAAAGAGCTGCCAGTGGTTATGCACTGTTGAGATTCAGTAACAAGGTGTATATATAGTGTGCTCTGAATGTGGCAAGAGAAAATTAAATGACCCTTCTTGAAAAAGATCCCTTTCTAGAAGCTCTCTTTCTTGAAACTTAATATGAAGAAGCAGTTGTGGTAACTTAATTCTTCCTTATATCAGTTTACTGTTTCATGTCTGCTTGTTCAGCTGGAAGTATGACTGGAGTTGTCAGTTGAGCAGGGTAGTGGGAGCTCCTCAAGCTACCTTAGTGTTGCTTCTGTGCTTGGTCAGGTGGAAGCTCCAGCGGGAGGCTGGTTGAGATCTCTTGGCGCAGACAGAAAGATGCTGACTCTGCTATTCTTTTCACAGAAACTTGGAGTCTGTGGAACAGCTAAACAGCCTCTCCTGGGGGATGATGCTTGTGTCTGGGGTCCAGGTTACTGGTGTAAGAACATGGAGACTGCTGCTCAGTGCAACGTATGTAAAGCAGGATTCTGCCTCGAGTTCCCTATTGGTCTTTGATAGCTCCTTATAAACCACCTTTTTGGCGGTTACTACACTTTCAAGTGGATGAAGTCCAGTTTCAGAAAGCAAGGGGCTACTAGCTAGAAATTGACTGAGTTTGATTAGAAGTTCTTCTGTCGCCCGTAGCGTTCTTAAAGCAGGATGTGTCTTCTCCCCTTTGTTCACGTCCCCTATCCCTCTGCCAGCACTTCAGAATACGTAGTAAGATACACTGTGAGCTGTATATTTAGTCTGCGTTCCCACAGCCAACAGACCATGTCATGACCTCTCATCAGGCTCTAAAAATTGGCTTCCAGTGTTGCTGCAGGCCGATGCTTTTTTTTTTTTTTGCCAGGCCTTAATGGCTAAGGGTCAGCAGCAGCATTCTTTCATGAAGCTTCTGGGTGGGGATGAGGTTATTTATTCTAGTCCTCTCTGGGATCACTTACTTTAAGAAAAACAGTTTTGCTTTCAAGATCTTGGCTCAGAATAAGGTGTTAAATTGTATATGTAGGCACACTTGTTTGCAAACAGGCTTTTTTTTCCACTAATATACACTGTTTCTTTCCCTTTAGGCTGTCGATCACTGCAAACGTCATGTGTGGAACTAAAGGAAGAATTTACAGTTCTGAAAACTTGCTGTGGCTCTTGAAAATATGGGCCGAGGTTGGCGGAGAGCTGTATCTCAAATGTCCCTCCTCTCTGCCTCATTAACAATTTGACCTTCAAGTCCCTTTATTGTAACTCTTCTGTAGCAGTGCTGCTGTTGAAGGATCAGATCTTCATCGTTGACTTAACAAAGATATTTCTGATTGTACAGTTTAACTCATTATGATCCTAAAAATAGTGTGTTGTAGATTTTTAATTGGTAGGCTGTTTTTTTAGGTGCTGGGAAAAATGGCAGAGAAGGTGAAATGAGACAAGACTATTGTCTTTTAATTAAAAAAAAAGAGAACAAGATAGCAACTGAACTTTCAACTGTCTCTCTGTAGTCAGCATTGGGAAGATTACATGCTTTGCGTTTTTAACATCTGGCTGAAATATTGATTTTCTGTGTAACTGTCAGGGAACTCTTAAGGGATAAAGTTGTATCTGGGAATCCTTTCGGCTGGAATTTTCAAAGCTCTACAGATGCAGAGGAGGGGACTCTGTGCCCAGCTAGCTTTCAAAGTAACTGGTACCTAAAAATATGCATTTGCATTGGAATGACCACATTTACAGCTTGTGGTGTTACCATAGCTAGGGAAACCCTCCCTTGACCTTCGATCATATCCTTTTTATTTCCTTCAACTACTCGGTCTAAGCATGGGTGTTTTATGGGTGTTTTGCTATCAAGCCCTGTACAGTGGGATTTCAGTCTTTTGAAGCATGCTGATGTCCTTTAGGAATGGCTCCCTTTTATTTCTTATCCTAGTTGCTCAATTCTACTTAGTTTTGCAGCTTCCTACATGCAGCCAGCCAGGTGCCAAGGACGTAGAGTGAGCTGGGTCAGTAGAAAACGAAGGGGAGAAAGTCAGCAGGGGCTGCGCATATGTCAAAGGGAGTTCAGCAGAGAGGGCAGAATGCATGGAGAAATGGGTTTTGTTATAAACTGCTGGTTCCTTGATTTGTTTTTCTCTCATAGCACGTTTCAGTCACCTGAAATTTCGGAGGCGCTGTGAGGCTCACAGGCAGTTTCCACCTTTGCTCACTGACACTCACCCTTCTCAGTAGTTTGAAGTATAATTTTTTTTTCCAGAGTTCCCATTTCTGTTGGGAAATGCTTCCGAGTAATGAGTGGAGATGGCAGATGGTAACAGCACTGTAGTAAGCATTTGGCAGCTCTGCTGGCATACCTGACAACCTGCCTTTCATGCCTCTGCAGCGTCCCTCTGAAACGGCCTGAACTTCTGAACAAAAGCCTTTCAAGGCAAGCTGCTACCCTGGAGATAAGTCAGGCCCTTGAGGTGTCAGGGCCTTGAGAAAGAGTTCATGTTGAGATGGACCTTGCATTCCCTACCAGTGTTCAGTGTGTAGTTCTGATCAAGTAAGCTCCCAAAATAGAGGCACCAAAGTAGCTCTGAGGACAGCTTTGGGAAGGAAGAGCTGGAGCTTTGAAAATTCCAGTCCTGTTCAGAAAGGTGCCAGCAACTGCAGCTGTTTGTGTGGTGTCATGGGTGAGGCAGGAGCTCCAGTAACGATGCTTTAGCAGCAAGCAAAGTAATTTTCATGCAGTTTAATGGAAAACCACTAGACTGCACCTCTTTGGTTACTATGTGTACTTGCTAAATGTCTGGACGGCGTTGACAGACAGCAATACTGGTTTTTCTTTCTTGTTTGCATTTGTACAGAATGCTGAAGCACCTGAAAAATGACTCCCCTAAAGATGTAAAAAATACCTGAAGCTTTTGGTCTTGACAGACTTGTACAGTGGTTCCAGCGCCGTATCCCAGTTGGGGTAGATATGTCAGATAGGAAATGTGCTCTTTTCAGCATCGCTGCCCTGGAGGTATGGGTTGCATTACACCATGACATGTAGTATGGTATTTTATCTTTTAAAGTGGATGGCATTCTATTACTGTGATTTTTTTTGTAAGGGAAATGTGGGGGGTGGATTGACACTTGCTCTTACAGGTTGGCATGGTTTTAATTTTCTTGGGTTTTTAGTAGCGAAGTGGTTATGCTAGCGACCTGTCGGAGGAGGTGAACCAGGGCAAATCCTGTGCTAGCACTGGAAGTCTCTTTAGTTTTCTCCCTTCCTGTGGACCGTGGCACCTGACCTGTTTGAGTTATGCTGGGGGGGACACGTGCAGTTGCTTTCTGAAGAACATTGTCTTGATTTTTGCACAAAAGCTTCCTTAATGAACAATAAAAACTTCTGTAAATCGATAAGCGTGTTTCACTTCCTTACTGTGTGCTCACGTTAGCTTCCCCTTTGCCTCAAAGCCAGAGGAGGCATGTCCCAAAAATGTCACTGGGAATAATGGGCAAGATTCCCATCAAGTTGCCATTGCCTTGCAAGGTGCATGTCCCATCAAGCCTGTGTTATATTGAGCACAGCTGCAGGGATTGTTGCCGTCTCCTGGACAAACGCAACACCTGATGTGAAGCAACAGCCCCATGTTGCAATTTCTCTGCCTTGCACAGGCTCCAGGGAGTTCTTGCTGAAGCTGCTTGATATCAGGCTCCAGTGCTGACTTGCATTTAATGTGGCTTTTCCTTTGGTCTTCATTCCTTTGTTTTGAATAAAATGTCTTTTGAATGCTTTAAGCAAACTACGTGTCTGTGTCTAAATATACCATTACTTGTCTGATACACCATTCACTTGTCCTAAACTTACTGCACTGCTGACTTAATTCTATTGTTGTTTTTTTTTTGAGGAATGATGCTCTATCCCATAGCACTAGGACAGTTTTCCCCTGCTGTGCCCACCCTTTGCAACCAGGAATGGTGAGGTTAGTGTCAAGCACCAGGTTCTGGGCTGGTTTTGACTTCCCGGGAATACCTGTATGGCTCTGGTCCCTCCCTCCACTTGCAGCTGGTGATGATTTTATAATCAAGGCACAAGGGGTGTGGTAATTGCCCTGCGTAGGTGTGGATTCTCACTACTTCTCCCAGCCCATCCAAGATTCCTCAGACTGGGAGCAGCACAGGAGAGGAACCAGCCACTGAGGACTATCTTAGGAACGGCATGGAGAGCAAATGGAGTGGCTGGGTGCTGATCCTTTCTGTGTGCCTGGGCTCCTACCAAGGTAAGGCCAGGCCTGGGACTAGGATTCAAGGAGAGCCCAGAAAAAAACCCCTCTGAACCCCCAAACTCTTCCCAGCTATAGTGTTAAGGATCTGTAGTGTGCTGCTTTGTCCCTCCATGGGTTTGGAGTTAGGCCAGAGGAGAGCTGGGGTAGGTGGCACAGCTGGCTGCTCTACCTCTTGCCCACCTGCATGTGAGTGGTGCAACTTCTGCCCTTAAAGAGATGATTTTGGGGCAAAAAAAAAAAGTGGTTTGCTCCCTTCCTTCTCTGGACAGCAGGGATGTGGATGGAGCTGGTGTTTTGCTGGGGTATGGAAGGAGGGAGGACAGTTCAAGGGGCAGCAGGCTGCTTTGCTGCCCCTGGCATTGGGCTCTGGCTGTTGTGTCTGTGCTATTTGGGGGAAATTGCTTTGTTGTCTTTGCACAATGGGGTGATCACGGTGCCACCTGACACTGCCCCTTTCTTAAGGACCTCATAGGAGGTGCAGGAAGGCAGGAAGCCTCTGCCCTTGTGGTAGGGTGATGGGCTGCAGTGCTGCAGCCCTGAGCACCTTTGGAGACCTCTCATCACCAGGGCTTTGGGTACCTGTGAGCAAATCCTGCCCCTGGATAAGCTTATGCTGCTGTCCCCGAGGTATTGCCCTGATAAGAGCTAGAAAGTGGTATCTGGCTCATCCGCAGGAAATGGGTTAGGAAGAGCTTGTTTCTCATCTCTGGTCTTTGCTTGAGAGGAGATCCCTTATTCCAGGGGAAATTTCCCTGGGCGAGCCATGAATCCTTCTTGTAGGGGAAAAAAAAATAGAGAGGAGAACCCCTTTTGCACCCTAATTACCCCAGGCTCAGTCTATCGGGCTCTTCTGACACGACCTGCCCAGGCACTGGCTTTGTGGTGGAGGAGTCGTGACTGTGCACGCGTGCCTGACGGTGGAAGGGGACACGCTGAGGTGCTCCAACCAGCAACAGGCGGAGCAGGAAAGTTCACCCAGGCTTGGCATGTCTGTCCTTCAGGCAATGTCTGCCCCGGAAGCCGATAGTGGCTCTTGTGGTGGCAGCTTGGCTGCCTGGTGTGGTGTGGCTGTGGGATTGGGGCCCACTGCAGGCCTCGGAGAAAGGTTTTTGACGCTGAGAAGAGCGTATTTATGACTTTTGCTGTAACAGGGGTGTGCACCCAGCTGGGAACTGGGGCGCCAGGGCCCACGCCGCCACCCCCAGGGTTTACGTCACAACCTGCTCGCCAGGCTCTGCCGGCTTGGCCGGCGTCCTCCGGGGCTCCGTGTAATGCTGGCACAGCCCTGCCGCATCCAGAGCTCGGCCCTGGAATCCCCCTGAGCAGATCTCACCGTGCTCTAGGGGCCCTGCAGCTGGGGATGGAGCAGTGCTGGCTGGCTTGGGGCCACCATGGCAGCACCGGGGTACCCCTGCTTTGTCCTATGCTTTGCCGAAGATGGCATCATCCAATGTCCTGCTGCCTGGGTGCCAGTCAGCACCAGGAGGCTCTGGCAAGGCTTTGAAATGTGAAGGAGAGCTCACAGGGCACCAGTTACTCTGGTTGCTTGCCCCATGGCAATGCTTTCCACCTGAGGAAACTCTCTCTGCTCTCAGCAGATGGGCATAATTATTTATTATTTTTTCCTGCCCAGTACTTGTTGCCTGAGTTTCAGCTTGAGCAGAGTGAGGAGTAAGGGCTGAGCTGAAATGTGTAGGTCCAAACCATTGGTGTCCCCTTGACCGGCGAATTCCCTTCATAGCATTGCTGGCAGCGTCCTTATGCTGCCAATCTGGTCCCTGACATGGGTCTGTGAGAGATGCCCGGGTCTGTGGGTCAGGCAGGACTAGGTCAGAAACAAGCTGTGGGGTCGTTGTCTCCCCTCTCCTTTTTTTTTTGGTACTGCCCCTTAACTCTTGTGCTGAATCGCCATTCCTGTTCATCCTTATGCTAACATCAGGGTTAAAAAAATAAATGCTATCTCTCAGCTGATGCGGTGAGCGAGGCATCACGCTGCTGGAGAGTGTGTGTGGGAGGCCATGTGTGGGAAACCAGAGGAACTCGCCCTGCCCCGGGGCTCGCTTGTGCCCTGGTGCTGCCATCAGCCCAATGGGGTAATTCGGGCTGACACACCATCCGGCACCTGCCGAACTGTGCCAGTGCTTTTGGGAGCAGGCAAGGCTGGTGAGGGGCTCGGGAGCGTCCCTGGGACATCCCTAGTGACCTCAAGCATCTCGAACTGCTACCCAACACATCCCATGGATGAGCTGGAGGCGTTGCCAAAATCCAGCATGTAGGAAAAGCAGCTTTTGGGAGAAACTTGGTAAGAGCAGGGTGGGTGGAAGGAGCAGTTTCTGCCTTTGGCTTTATTCTTGCTGTGCAAAATCATATGGCCCGGGCTGAGGGGGTAAAAGCTGGGTGTAAATGCTCTGGGGAGGTTGTGCTTTGCTTAGAAACACCAGCTGCCAGAGGGGAGGCAGCAGGGTCTGTCTGTCCATCTGTTCACGTGCTGCTCGCCATGTGTCTCTAACTTTCTGAAGCAGGGCAGTCAAGGGCTTGGGTTGTGCTGGCTCCTCGCCTCCTCCCCGGCCGCGTCCTGGGTGGGCACAGCCCCTAGTGGGAGTAAACACTTGCCCCATCGTGAATGAATCTCGACACGCCAAGGTGGCAATTAAACTGTCGGCATTGCGCCACACCGCTGCGCCACGTGGGCAGCCAGGGCGGGCGATGCCGCCGCTGCCGCTCTGGGGCCTTGCAGCCAGCAGAAAATGCTGTTGTTGGGAGGAAATGGAAAGGAAGAAAGAAACCAAACCCAAAACTGGGTTTGCTCAATCATTGCCCGGAGCCGCGGTGTGGCTAACTGGCTGCTACATGGGCCTGAGCGCTGGCACCTCCACTTTGCTCGTTTTGCAAGATTTATTGCTCTTTTTATAGGCAGGCGCCTCCCCAGTGTGTTGGAGGGTGCTGCAAGGCTGAGGATGAGCCCCTAATTTGCTTTCCTTTTGATGCTGGCCCAAAGCTGCTGCAACATCCTGATGGAAAAGCCGGCAGCACGTGATGGCCTGGCAAAGCCGGCCTTTGCTGGGCTTAAAAAAATGATTTATAAATTATTATCACAAAAGCTGAGGGTGAATCACCCTCGGCTTGCGAGGCAAGGCTGGGCTTGGGGTGCCGGTGGGGAGGTTGGTGCAGAGAAGGAGGTTGTCTCGGGGTGTCCTGGGGACTGACGGTCTCCTCTCCTCCCCGACAGCCGTGGCCAGCCCCCTCCACGAGTGCGGCGAGCGGCTGGAGGACTGGTGCCGCGATGAGTTGACGGCGGCCAAGTGTGGGGTGCTGGACCTCTGCCGGATCAGCGTCTGGGACCAGGGCCTGGGGGTAACTGTACAGGGATGTGGGGGTGGGAATGGAGGGATGCACCCATCCTGCCCAAAAATGTGGGGCTGGAGGGAGGATCTCAGCCTGGCTGCCCCAATGCTGGGCACCCAGAGGAGCGTCTGCTGCTGCTCTTGGGCAGCAATGTGTTTGCAGGGTGAGTGACATAAATGCGTGAGTATCCTGGGATATTCCAAATGCCCCTTGGTGAGGTGTTTTTGGGATGAAGGGTCGGGATTTGGGGAGAAAGTGGGAGGTCCACGTGCCATGGCAGCATCCCAATGTGTCCCCTCTCTCAGCAGAAGGGGATCCGATGTCACCTGTGCCAGATGACAGTCTCTGTGGTGGGCAAGATCCTGCAGGACAACCGCACCGAGGTGGGTCACAACCTCGGAGGTGTGGGGTTGGTGTGTCCACCCACACCACAGGGCCAGCCTGGGTCTGAATTCTCCCTTTCTCACCTAGGAAAAGCTGCGGCTCTTCTTGGATAAGAAGTGCCAGTACCTGCCCTTCCAGGACTGGTCTGTCAAGTGCAAGAAGATGGTAGATACTGGCATCCTTGTCCTCGTCCAGCTGGGCAAGCAAGTGCTGGTAACTGGTGGGGGGGATCCCCTTGGATTTCTGTTTTGCCACTGTTAAGGATGTCTTGGGGGGTTGCAGGGCAAAGGAGGCTCTTGGAGCTTGGGACAAAACCTCTGAGGGACAAAATGGAGATGGAATTGACCCAGAGATGGGGAGGGGAGCAGGGAAATGGGGCAGATGTGGCCCCAAGCCCTCACTCCTCTGCTCCCCCAGGCGGACCCAAAGGTGGTGTGTGGGGCCATCAAGCTGTGCAAGCCCCAGGAGAGCTCCACGGGAGCCCTGAAATTTCAGAAGCCATCGCTGGCCCCCATGGGCCCTGCTCAGGACTTTGCCGACCTGGTCTCCCCCTTCATCACCAACGTGCCCCTCCTGCTCCATCCCCAGGACCTGCCTCATGGAGAGGCTCAGGTACGGTGACACAGACGAGGCTGCCATTGATGCTGCTCAAGGGCAAAAATCACCTAAGCATCACCTATTTAACAATTAAAAAAATATTAAAGTTGAAATGGCAGCTAATAAGGGGTCACACCTATTCGGGCCTGGGATATTGTATAAATGCAAGTTGGGGGGGGAAACCAGAGAGATGCCATTTAAAAAGCGGCCCCAGATTGCAACCGACATTGAAATCCCAGCCCTGCAAATGCAGGCATTGGGGGCACTTGGTTTCATTTTGGGGTGGATACCAACGTGTCCTTGTGTTGTCCCGCAGGAGATGAAAGACGTGTGTGGGGACTGCCTGCAGCTGGTGGTTGCCATGCAGCTGGAGCTGGAAACCGATGCCACCTTCGCCCAGGTGCTGCTGGCCCCCGCCGAGCGGGCATGCGAGGGCCTGGCACCCGCCCTGGCACAGCGGGTAAGGTGCTGCGGTCCTGCCGGGCTCGCTCCTCCTCCCTGATGGCACCGTGGCGTGGGAGCACCTTTTGCTGCTGCCTGCTTTCGAGCAGTGCCACAGCAAGTTGGGGTGAGGGGGTCTGGCAGGTGTCTCCTCTCAGAGGGTGACGCTGTGTCTCCCCCGCACAGTGCAAGCGCAATGTGGTTGTGTACGCGGACGTGGCTGGCCCGGTGGCCTTTTTTCTGGGGCTGGCAGGGCCGGATGGGTGCTGGTGGGTGGGTGCTGAGCAGCACAGACAAGGGGATCTCATCAGCAAATGCGGGGCTTGCTCTCGTTTTGGTAATTAATCATGCTGCTTTATATTCCTATAAACTTTTAAATATTGTCCCCTCTCTCTGGGTTGCAACTGCTGTAATTCTTTTTCTGTTTGCATTTTTTTCTTGCTGTTTTGCGGCCACTCCACTGGCAGAAGGCTGAGGTAAGCAACGCCCGCACCCCAATGGGCTGAACTCACCCTCTGTGGGGTAGCGGGGGGTGCAGGCTCACCCTCTCGGGAGCAATGCCGGTCCAACTCAGGGTGCCTCTCTCCCCAGGACCCGATGAAGCTGTGTGGCCACCTGGGACTCTGCTCCTCCACCTCGGCACTGCCCCTCCACACACTGCTCACTGAGAAGGCGATGCAGGTCCTCAACACCCTGGGAGTAAGTGGCGACTTCCCCTCCTGCCACACACCTTAAATTTGAGATGCTGGGAAAGGGGAGCCTTATTTTACCTTTTATTTTTTCCTCAAACACTCCTATATTTCCAAAGTGGGAAATGTCTTTTGGTGGTGCTGATGGCTGGGTGGGATGGGGATAGTTCTAGGAGGGGGCTTTGGCATGTGTCCCACCACCTTGTCCCAGCAGGATGAGGAGGGAACCCCAGCGCTGTGTGAGATGTGCCAGTTTGCAGTGAAGGCGGCTGAGGGCCTCCTGGAGAACAACGTGACGGAGGTGAGCCCTGCTGCTGTGGTCTGGGGAAAGGTGGGCTGGGAAAGGCAGGCAAAAGAGGCAGCAAGGAGTTGAGGGGGTTGGGGGATCTCCCCATCCTTCCACCCACCTTCTCCTGGCAGGACCAACTGGTGAATGACATCGAAAAGGTGTGCTACATGCTGCCCCACGGCATCATTGGGCAGTGCAAGGACTTCGTTAACTCCTATGGCAAAGCTGTGGTCATCATGCTGCTGGAGGCCACTGACCCAACTACCATCTGTACCATGCTGCACTGCTGTCCCCGCAGCGGGGACACCCACCGAGGTGAAGATGAGGGGACCTGGGTGGCACCCAGACACCAAGTCCCTGGGAAGTGGGGTGCTGGGGTGGTGCTAACAGCCCCTCATGTCCCACAGGGACTGCTGAGCTGGAACAGCTGGCAGTGGGTGCAGGCGCCTTCTGCAACGTCTGCCAGATCGTCATCACCTATTTCGATAACGAGCTGCTGAAGAATGAGACACTGGCAGAGCTGGGTGAGGTGCTGGAGAAGGGCTGCGAGCTGCTGCCCACGCCTCTCACTGACAAGGTGAGCTGGGGAGAGGGGAACACTCAGCCTGGCAGGGACCCCCTGACTGCCCTGCACCGGACTCACCCCCTCTCTCCTTCCCAGTGCGAGGCCCTTGTGGTGCTGTATGAGCCAGCAGCCGTGCGGCTTCTCGTGCAGATGATGGACCCCACCTATGTCTGCACTGTAAGTGTCCCCATGCCATGGGTGCTGCACCCAGTGCCCAGGGCAGCCTGGGCCAAGATGGGCATCTTTTGTCCAAGCCTGAAGGGGGCTGGCAGAGGGGCCATGGGGTCAAAAGGTGCTCATGGGGGTTTTTTTCCTCCCCGCTTCCACATTTTTCCTTTGCAATGCAGAAAATAAGAGCCTGCGAATCACCCAAGGAGGATCTCTTGGGCTCAGACCCCTGTGCTTGGGGCCCACAGTACTGGTGCAAGAACATGGCCACGGCCATTGAGTGTCACGTAAGTGTCAGCGGCATCCCCTTCCCTGGGTCAGCAGGGTGCCAGGAGTTCCTGCCTCCCCCTGTCATCTCTCCCTGTCTCTCCCACAGGCTGTCAAGCACTGCCAGCATCACTTATGGAACTAGGAGCCACCTTCCCAGCCAGCCAGACTTGCTCTATCATTTTGGTTCAGGATCCCGGACCCACCCCTCCCTTCAGATGTGCCTGCACCCATGGACGGCAATGGCAGGAGCCCACTAGTCTCACCACTCTGGCAGGGGCTGTGGAGTACCCCAGCTGCCTCTGCTGCTGCCTGTTCCACCCCTGGGGCTTGGATTTCCAAATCAGGTTAAGGGACTTGTTAGTATTTTCAGAACTGGAGATTCGGCCTTGATATCCCTTGGAGCAAATCCTGCCATCCCTCCCCATCCTCATCCCTAACCCTAACACCAACCCCATCCCACCCTGAACCACTCGTAAAGCCCAGATCCTACAACATGGATCCGGGGTTGGTTTCTGCTGCCCAAATGCCAACCCCCTGCTCCTGGCCTTTGGCAGCCTCACAGTGTGGGTGACATTGGCTTTTGGCAAGCCCAGTCCTTTGCTGGTCCCTCTTCTAATGGGGGTGGCCTTTTATTATTGGTTGTTTTTTTTTTCCCCTGGTCACAGTTAAAGAACCAAAAAGTGGATTAAATTTACCTGCAATGACTGGCTTTACGTGACATTTGCAGTACACTCATTTTGTGTCCAGCCATTTGCTGGGAAAGATAATATATATTTTAAGTATTCTCTGAACAACAAAAAAAAAAAGAGTGAATTTTGAGGACAAAGACTTCCTTTCATGCACACAAGCCCGCCGGGGGGAGTCCCATGCTGACCTGGCCATGGTGGTGAGGGACAGTGGGGCACTGGCTCATCCCTCCCCGCCGTGGGATGGGGGATGCCCATGAGGTCTGATCCTGAGTGTGCACAGGAACATCTCACCACAAATAAACTCCTCCCACGAGCTCGGCTGGTTGTCTCCCTCCTCCTTGACCTGGGGTGCTGGGCAGGGTTGGTGGTGTGGTAAGGGTGTGCAAACCTAGGAGAGGTTAAATACTTCCCCTCGAAATCTGGGGTGCAGCAACACCCAGGACAGCATCTTATGAAGGTGGTGGACATCATGGCCTCTGACCATGGAGGGGTGAATTAAAGGAAAAGGAGGTTTTCCTCTTCAAAATGTGGATTGGGCATGGTGAATCCCGCGTGGCCAGGGAGGAAAGACGACAGACAGGGTACCCAAAGCCATAGACAGTGTATTTCTGAGTCCCGTAACAGACCGTGCCCGAAACTCTCCACAAGGATACGATTTGAAACAAACCCCCAAACAAACAAACCCAAAAGCAAGAGAGAAGGGGAAAGCAAAGGGCATAAAAGACACACACGAGCACTCCACATCCAGAAACCCCAGTTATTGTCAGTCTCTCTCTTTTACGACGTCGCAACATGTTTTGGTAAAGCCAGCAAAATGGAGAAATGTCTTCAGGTTTTTTTTTATTTTCTTTTTTTGGGGGTCTTTCCTTGCTGAAAAGGTGACGCTAATGCCAAATGGACTCAGCTTCTCCCCACTCTGCCCCAGCCCTTCTCGTGCCCGTGGTCGAGGTGTGACAGCTGCTTGTCCCCAGCCTGTGCCTGGAGATACCGCAGTGGCATCATCCACACCTTCACTGCTCCTTCACCCCTGTCCAGCCTGGACTTATTGGATTTGTTTAGCTTTTCTTTTTTTTTTAAAAAAAACGAAAACAAAAACCCAACCCTTTTTTTTTTAATAAGAAAAATAAAAAAAATTTTAATGCTTTCATGGATTAATGACAGACGAGTAAAACCATACTGGTCCTGAGAGCCCTTTCCCGGGGCCAAGCTCTCCAAGGCTGCTGGAGCGAACTGCACCAGCTGGCCTGGACTCCTTCTGCAGGGGAAGGGGGGGCCAAGTGCCGCTCTTGGGGTGCCCCTGGCCCCCGCCACGGTTCCCCTGGTCCGTGCTTCATCCCGGCCGGCCCTGGCTTGCCTAGAGGAGCACCACCACCACCGCTTGTCATAACTCGGTGATCTCCAGGGGGCTCTCCATGATCACCTCCCGCATCTTGTGCAGGGGGGTGGACTTGGCCGACTCGGTGCGCGCATTGTGGTCGCTGTAGACTCCACAGTCGGCAGTCAGAGTCTCCAGTGAGCGACCCAGCACCTTCTGGTCGTCCTCGGGCAGGCTGTTGAGGTCGGAGGCAAGCAGCGTGCCCGTGCTGCCATGCACCACGTGGATGCCGTCAGGACCTTTCAGCTCCACTGGCTGCTTGTGTCGGAAGCGGAGGCTGCCTTGGTTTGGGCTGTGCTCCTCCTCTTCCTCCAGCTCCTTCTGGATCAGCTGCAAAAGGTTCACGGAGTGGGGGAATCATCATCACAGCTAAAGCAGCTTCTGGCTTTCCCACCTCTGAACCTCCTGCAATGCTGGAGCCCAGCAGAAGGGATGGGAGCCTTCTCTTCTGAAGCCAGCTCAGAACGCGGTGATGAAGATCACCAGCATGATGATAACCTCCAGCTGAATTGCCCATTTGTTAGGTGGGTGCCTCAGCTCAGGCACTGGCTGCCAGCTGGGTGGTGGGGCTGGCAGCAGCTCCCATAGTGGCCAGAGAGGAGATGGGATTTGGGGTTGCATGAAGGTGGTGGGGGGAGGAGGCAGATGAGGGGAGGCTGGAGGAGGGATGAGGGTGAGGAGAAATGAGGAGCAGAAGGGCTGAAAGTAGTCTCCCATCCCACTGCTCTCCTCTGCTCTCTTTGCCCCATGTTTCATCCCCCATGGGATGAAATCTCCCACCAAGAGCTGCAAGAGAAGTTACTTCTTTCCACACCAGCCCTTCTGCACCAAAACCCTCTGTGCTGGCCTTTTCGCCTCAAAAACCTGCTGGGTTGATAAGATGAGAGGAGCAGAGGGGAAGGAAGATGTGCCTACGTGTGTGCAGGGACCTGCAGCTTCTTGGCCAGAGTCGGTGGAGCAGCTGCACCTTGCAGTGAGATGGACAGGTGATGGACAGAGCAAACCCCACAAAAAGAGGGGTCCTCTTGCAGGATAGGAGAGACAGAGGGAGAAGGTGCTGCTGATGCTCAGGGAGAACACAAGCGGTGATGAGAGCTGGGGCAATGTGGGGAACTGGCAGCCTCAGTGGAACACCAGCATTTGGCTCATTTTGGCCAAGCAGGGAATGGGGGCTGGAAACCACTGGGTGATGGGAACTAAGGCTGTGGGACAGGACAGGAAGACACACTGCATCCCAGAGGGCACAGCAAGCATCTCCCCACATCCATGCACACTCTGTCTACCTCTGAGACCGAGGAGCGGTCCCCCTGACTGGTGGTGGCCTTATGCACCATCCTCTGGGCAAAGAGTTTTTTCAAGCGCATATAATCATCCAGGACCACCTTCAAGAGAGTGCCCTGGGTGGAGGGGAAGAGACAACGGGTTACCCAAGAAAGATGGTTTAGTTGGAAAGAGGCCAGCATCATCCCAGCATTTTTCGGAACATCACCTTCCAGCGCTGCAGCCATGAACCTGGAAGCTGGAGTGGTAGGAGAAGATCCCTTTGTGGAGGATGTCTGCGCTCATCACTCACCTTGATGGGTCCTTCCCGCATGATCTGCCCCAGCTTGGCAATGTTGTCGTACTCCTGGATGGCTGCTCGCAGGTAGCGGTCGTCCTCGGGCTTGGCTGCGGAGGGCTCCCTCCCAAAGGTCCCCTGCAAGAGGAGAGAGTGGCTGAGGAAGTGGTGTTGGGCATTGGGTGTGGGAGGAGGTGTCCTTTCAGGGGCCGTGGCTCACATGGGTGCGGGCAGGGCTGTTCCAGAGGTCGGTGATTTCGCTCAGATTTTCCGGCAGGTCATCCTCATGCTCTGCCTGTGCCGCCAGCTCCATGTTTCTGCAGAAGGGGTCCAGCCACACCGGGTTGGCCCTGCCCAGGGGAGAGGAGCAGACCTCAGCGCAAGTAGAGAACAGCTGAAAACCCAGCAGCATCCCTAAGCCCATGCAGAGCCCAGATGCTGAGGTTGTGCTGCCTCCTTCTGCCCTGTGCAGACATGAATTCGGCTGCTCTGGATCCAGATGTGTGCTGGTACCTGACCACCATCTCTGCTTACACCAAGCCTGGCCAGTATTGGCAGAGATGGAGTAACAGAAGGAAGCAGAAGGTCTTTTGGCTTTGAAAGCTCTCAGGGACAAGCACATGTGCCAGGGTCAGAGTCATGCTCTGCAAGGCGTGCCTGACCACATCCCCGTGCAGAGCAGAGAGGTGTCACGTCTCTCTTCACCTCCTGCGCATCTCTGGGTGCAAAACTCAGGCTCCCCTATCTTGGGAGCAGCCTGTGATCCTGCAATGTGCCATGCCGTGCTGCATGAGGTGGCAAACTGGAGAGCGGAGGGCAGGGGAGAACTCACCCATCAAAGGAGTACTTGTTGGTGTTTGGCATGTCCATGATGTCCATGAAGCCCCTGTTGCCTGCAAAAGGCAGGGGGGGGTGGTTACAGGGCGGCACATCAGTGTGCTGAGCAGCCAGCCCAGCTGCAGGCATGAGGTGGCACTTCTTTATCGGGGGGGCAGGGGAAACTCAGCGACTGAGAAGGCACCAGTGGGGTGAGAAACACTTGGATGTGGCTGATAACACAGAGCCTGGATGCTGAGGAAAGCCTCCCACCATCGTGCCTCACTGGGCAGGGTGGCTTCTGATTTACAGCCTACTGACATCCCCTGCATCTCCCCGTGTAGCCCCTCTGTGCTGTCCATGCACCCTGCTGTCTCATGCAGCTGGAAAACCTCAAATGCTGCTCACCCGTAGAGCCGGCCACTATGGCTTTCAATTTCCTTTTGTGCCTGTGATAGAAATACAGAGAATCAGGGAAGAAAATAAGGAAGATGCTTTAAAGGAAAGAGGTCACAGATTTGCCATAACCCTGCAAACAGCCCCTGTATCTATAAGGAGAGTGAGCTTGGCAGGGAGAGGCACTATCAGTATTAAAATCACTACATTTTGGGGAAAGAGGTGCAATTTCTGAACCCAGGCTGAGCTCCACTGCAATAGTTTTTGGGATGCTGCACTCCTTTGCTTGCTGGTACTGCCATGCAGGG